TCTAAATTTTTTTGTACATGTGGGTCCTTTTCCCATTTTTATGATATCTTTGCGATACAGACCTAGAAGTGCTATTGCCAGGTCAAAAGGTATGCGCAATTTTATAGTCTTTTGGACATAGTTCCAAGTTGCTCTCCAGAATGGTTGGATCAGTTCACAACTCCACCAACAAAGCACTAGTGTTCCAATTTTCCCACGTCTTCTACAACATTTGTCATTGTTCTGTTTTGTCATGTTAGCTAATCTGATAGGTGTGATGTGGTACTTCAGAGTGGTTTTGATTTGCATTTCTCTGATCAATAGTGATTTAGAACATTTTTTCATATGACCATAGATAGTTTTAGTTTCTTCTTCTGAAAACTGCCTGTTCGTATCCTTTGATCCTGTTCATATCAATTGGGGAATGACTTTTATTCTTACAAATTTGACTCAGTTCTCTATATATTTTAGAAATTAGGCTTTTATAAGAAACAATGGTTATAAAAATTCCCAGTTTTCTGCTTTCCTCCTAATCTTGCTTGCATTGGCTTTGTTTTTGCAAAAACTTTTCAATTTAATGTAATCAAAATGACCCATTTTGCATTTCATAATGTTCTCTGTCTCTTGTTTGGTCATAAATTCTTCCCTTCTCCATAGATCTGAAAGGTAAACTATTCTTTGCTCTCCTAGTTTGCTTATAGTATCAGTCTCTATATCTAAATCGTGTACCCATTTGGACTTTGTCTTGGTATAGCATGTAAGATGTTGGTCTATACCCAGTTTCTGCTCAACTATTTTCCAGTTTCCCAACAGTTTTTATTAAATAGCAATTTCTTATCCCAGAAGCTGGGGTCTTTGGATTTATCAAATAATAGATCAGCATAGTCATTGACTGTTGCGTCTTGCATACCTAACCTATTCCACTGATCCACCACTCTATTTCTTAGCCAGTACCAAGTAGTTCTGATAATTGCTGCTTTATAATCGTATTTAAGATCTGGTACAGCTAGGCCACCTTCCCTTGCATTTTTTTTTCATTAATTCCCTTAATATTCTGGACTTTTGTTCTTTGAGATGAATTTTGTTATTGTTTTTTTCTAACTCTATGAAATAATTTCTTTGGTACTTTGATTGGTATGGCTCTGAAAAGTAAATTAATTTAGGTAGAATTGTCATTTTTATTACATTAGCTCAGCCTACCCATGAGCAACTGATATTTTTCCAATTATTTAGATCTGACTTTATTTGTATGAAAAGTGTTTTGTAATTGTGTTCATATAGTTCCTGATTGTGTTTTGGCAGGTAGACTCCTAAATATTTTATAGTGTCTACAGGAATTTTAAATTTAATTTCTCTTTCTATCTCTTGCTGTTGGGCTTTGTTAGTAGTATATATAAATGTCGATGATTTATGTGGGTTTATTTTATATCCTGCAACTTTGCTACATTTGTTTATTATTTCAAATAATTTTTTGCTTGATTCTCTAAGATTCTCTAGATATACCATCATATCATCTGCAAAGAGTGATAGCTTTGTTTCTTCTTTGCCTATTCTAATTCCTTCAATTTCTTTTTCTTCTCTTATTACTAAAGCTAACATTTCTAGTACAATAATTGAATAATAGTGCTGATAATGGACATTCTTGTTTTACCTCCAATCTTATTGGAAATGCTTCTAGCTTATCCCCATTAAATATAATGCTTGCTGATGGTTTTAGATAGATGCTACCTATCATTTTAAGGAAGACTCCATTTGTTCCTATGCTCTCTAGTGTTTTTAAATAGAAATGGGTGTTGTATTTTGTCAAATGCTTTTTCTGCATCTATTGAGATAATGCTATGATTTCTGTTAGTTATATTGTTGATATGGTCAGTTGTACTGATAGTTTTCCTAATATTGAACCAGCCCTGCTTTCCTGGTATAAATCCTACCTGGTCATAGTGTATTATCCTTGAGTTAAGTTGTTATAATCTCTTTGCTAATATTTGATTTAAAACTTTTTGCGTCTATATTTATTAGGGGAATTGGTCTATAATTTTCTTTCTCTGTTTTGGCTCTTCCCAGTTTGGGTATCAGCACCGTATTTGTGTCATAAAAAGAATTTGATAGGACTCCGCCTATTTTATCAAATAGTTTATATAGTATTGGAATTAATTTTTCTTTAAATGTTTGATAGAATTCACTTGTAAATCCATGTGGCCCTGGAGATTTTTTCTTAGGGAGTTCATTGATGGCTTGTTCAATTTCTTTTTCTGAAATGGGGTTAAGTATTTTATTTCTTCTTCTGTTAATCTGGGCAATTTATATTTTTGTAAATATTCATCCATTTCACTAAGATTGTCAAATTTATTGGCATACAGTTGGGCAAAATAGCTCCTAATTATTGTTTTGATTTCTTCAGCATTGGTGGCAAATTCACCCTTTTCATTTTTGATGCTGGTTATCTATTTTATTGTTTTTTTTTCATAAAACTAGTTCTTAGTTTTATTTATTAGTTCAATAGTTTTCTTAATTTCAATTTTATTAATCTCTCCTTTGGCTTTCAGAATTTCTAATTTGGTATTTAATTGGGGATTTTTAATTCGTTCTTTTTATAGCTTTTTTAGTTGTATGCCCAATTCATTGATCTCTTCTTTCTCCATTTTATTCATGTAAACATTTAGAGATATAAAACTTCCTCTATTTCCCCTTAATTCCCCTTCCTCCTATTTTCTACTCACAGAGGTTGTTGTTTGTCCTTCATTCTAGAAGAGGACCATGAGATCAGGGAGATGATGCCTTGATATTCAAGTGAATTGGATTAAATTTGGGAGGGCTATACAAAGTTACTGGGGATATTGTCTAGATATAGATCAAGATGACTAGAGATAGCCCAGGATGCTGTGGGAGACTTTGGCTAAGGTCTTTAACAGGTCTCAGTCTGTCTGAGGCAATGTCCAGTCAGTGATTAAGGCTAGGTAAGAAATGAGGCAGAGAATGGCTTCTTAGTGAAAAAAAAAAATCAGTCTTAAAGAGAAAGTCCCTCGGGGTTTTTGTCCAAAACACAAACAATTACTATTTACATTCACTTGAGCCAGTAAGAACCCAAACAATGACCAAGTGGGGATTGTCCTGGGACCTACTGTTGGCCAATAATTGAGAGCCAGAGTGATTTGATAAGGTGCTGTCCTTAAGAGAAAAAAAAAGGTTTCAGGAATCAAATTTACATTTCTGTGGGCAGAGCATCCATAAGGGTATGATACCCTATGTGGACAGAGGGAAAAGAAAGAAAGAAAGAAAGAAAGAAAGAAAGAAAGAAAGAAAGAAAGAAAGAAAGAAAGAAAGAAAGAAAGAAAGAAAGAAGAAAGAAAGAAAGAAAGAAAGAAAGAAAGAAGGAAAGAGAAAGAAGAAAGAAAGAAAGAAGAAAGAAAGAAAGAAGAAGAAAGAAAGAAAGAAAGAAGGAAAGAAAGAAAAGGAAAGAAGAAAGAAAGAAAGAAAGAAAGAAAGAAAGAAAGAAAGAAAGAAAGAAAGAAGGAGGGAAGAAATAGAGAGAGAGAAAGACAGAAAGGAAGAAAGAGAGAGAAAGAAAAAAGGAAAGAGAGAGAGGAAATAAGGAAGGAAGGAAAGAAGGAAGGAAGAAGAGAGAGAGAAAGAAAGAAAGAAGGAAGAAGGAAGGAAGAAATAAGAGAGAAAGACAGAAAGACAGAAAGAGAAAGAGAGAGAAAGAAAGGAAAGAAAGAGAGAAAGAAGGAAGGAAGGAAAGAAGGAAGGAAGGAAGAGAGAGAGAAAGAAAGAAAGAAAGAAAGAAAGAAAAGAAAGAAGAAAAAAGAGAGAAAGAAAGAAAGAAAGAAAGAAAGAAAGAAAGAAAGAAAGAAGGAAAGAAAGAAAGAAGGAAACAGCCATGTGGCCCAACTGGCCAGTTCAATTTGGGTACCCAGTGGGGCAGCTCCTATTTTCTACTCACAGAGGTTGTGGCCTCTCAGACATCATGAATTGAATATATGATAAGCATCTCAAACTCAACAAGTCCATATGAGAACTCATCAGTTTCCCCAAACCTTCCCTTTCTTAATATTCCTGTTACTGTTGAACACATCACCATCCTCCAGTCACCCAGGCTCACAAAACATAGTATCATTCTCAATGCCTCACTTGCACTAGCCCCACAAATCTGTTGTCAGATATTGTTTCTACCTTCACAACATTTTTCACATCTAGCCTCTTCTCCTTTCATGCACCCACCACTCTAGTACATGCCCTTATCACATCTTGCTTGAACTGTCATTTGTCTCCTAGTTAGTCTCCTTGCCTGAAATCTGTGTACATTTCAGTCCCTTCTCCGCTCTATTGCCAAAGTGATTTTCTAAAGCACAGGGCTGCCCTTATCAACTCACCCTTCCACCACCTTCAAATTGAAAAAAAAAAAACAAAATAAAACTCCAATATCTCCTTATTATATTAGAGGTCAATAAAAATTCATTTGAAGCCCTTCATAAGCTGACCTTCATAAGCTGGGCAGCTAGGTGGCACAGCGGATAAAGTGCTGGGCTTGAAGTCAGGAAAACTCTTCTTGAGTTCAAATGTGACCTCAGATACTTGCCTAGCTGTGTGAACCTGGGTAAGTCACTTAATTTAAACCCATTTGCCTCAGCTTTCTCATCTGTAAAATGAGCTGAATAAGGAAATGGCAAACTGATACTGGCTTTAATATACCTGACAAGTGGTCATCACAATGCGTGGCATACTTTTGATGATAAGCATTCTTCATCTTTTGACTTTTATGACGTACTTTATGTCTGTAATCACAGGCACAAATTATCCATACATCAATAATCAGCATTAGTTAAATATACTGTTATAAACTGCTAATTTATTAAACCTATCCCAGATACTAATTATAGAATTTACTTAACATTCTAGACTTGATCTGAACGTGATTTTTCACTCAAGTGAAGAATGAAAAAAAACACCACTATTTTTATGTAACTAATTGATTGCATTTTCTTTCCAGTGATATTGACCTTTCATTTACTTTCCCTAAGGATTATGAGTTTTCAATTGCATGTAACACCAAGAGACTGAATTGCTTTCCTGTGCTTGTGGACATCATTAGTAATGGACTACTTAAAATGTTTAATTCCTCGGAGCAGATTCAAACTGAGAGAAGCATATTTGCTTATGTAAGTATAATTGTAAGAACTTGTTTAGCCACAATTGCTAAGAAATGAAGTATTGTAGGAGAGAATTTTCCAGCTAACAGAAGCTTAACCCTTTAAGAACCAAAACATTTATACACTAACTTTTTTTTTTAAAAGAACTCTTTTTTTTTTTTTTTGGCTAGGCAATGGGGTTAAGTGACTTGCCCAGGGTAAGTGTTATGTGTCTGAGGCCAGATTTGAACTCAGGTCCTCCTGAATCCAGGGTTGGTGCTGTATCCACTGCGCCACCTTGCTGCCCCTAAAAGAACTCTTTCTAAAGACTTTTCTTCTTTCCTTTATTACTGAATGGATTATATTTGAACATAATTTAACCTTTTAATGATGACTTCATTTCCAATTTCATATCCTCTCAACTCAGAAATGAAGATTGTTTAGGGAGACCAGATTACCAAAAAGTTAACATACAGTTAAGTGAGTTTTGGAGCCTAGTTCCAAAGTGCTGTTGTCACCCCTGCAACAACTGTTATTTTCCATTTCTGGACGTCTTTGCCAATGTGATGGGTGTGCTGTGGAAATCAATAGTTGTTTAATTAGCATTTCTCTTATCATTAGTGATTGGGAGTGCTTTTTTTGGGGGAAGATGATTATTGGTAGCTTTCTTATCTACTGGGGATCACTCGTTCTTGTGTAGTTGAATCGATGTGTATATATACATATATATGTATATATACATATGTATCTATAAATATATGTATGTATACACACATATATGCATAATATCTTTTATATTAGGCTTTTAGGAGAGAAATTTAATGACAAGATTTATTTTTTACTAGTTGATGGTTTTCTTCCTTTTATTTACAACTGTTTGATTTTATTTGTGCAAAGCTTTTAATTTTACGTAATTAAAAGTATCCATTTTATCTTTCTTGCATGATCATTTCAATCTTTTTGTCAAGAATTTTTCCCTACTCATAGTTGTGAAAGTTATGTCCTTCTCCTCTTTTTAAATTTCTGAGATAGCCTTAAATATCTGGTCATATAATAGTTTGAAGTTTATTGTAGCATATGATATGATTTTAGTCTAACTCCAATTTCTGACAGTCTGTTTTCCAGTTTTCCCTGTGTTTTTTGTTAAAATAGAGAGTCTTTATGCTTATACTTGGTGTCCTTGGTTTTATCAAACACTACACTACTGTGTGATTAATTGCTTCTGAGTTTTATGTATCTAATTTGTTCCACTGATCAACTTTTCTATATTTTTATCCAGCACCAAATAGTTGTGATGAGTATTACATTGTAGTGACAGATCCTTCTACTGCCTTTCCCATAGCAATTTTAGCTATAAGCTACAGTGGGTAGAGTGCTGGGCCTGGAATTAGGGAGAACTGAGCTCAAATCCAGCCTCAGACACTTATTTGCTATATGTTCAAGTCAAGTCACCTAAATACTTAGTGATCAAAACCTTGGCTAAATTTGTGCTGGGTGTCAGAATTTCTACTTATGGCTTTAGGCATGATTAATGTTTGAATTTCTGGTATGTTGATGGAATCCTTCAATTCTCAGGCTGCCAGTTTGGGAACTTTGTTCATAGAAATGGAAACATGGGAATTAACTCTCTTTCCCAGAATTCACCAGTTTGGTGACATTGAAATCATTATTTTTATGAGAGGGAGAGTTCTAGGAGAGAGAAGGAAGAAGAGAAGTCATTTTGTGCTCAGTGCAACTGGGCTAGTTATGACTCCAGGATGTGCTCTGTTTCTAGGCAGACTGCTCCCTCTCCACTGCTTCCCTCCCAAACCACAAACTCCAAGATTTTAAGTTTCTGCTGGTCAAGAATGGTTGGGAGCTGAGAGGCAATTTCCTTTGCTGAGAACTAATTGGGTGTATTAGGTGAAACTGCTATGCTGAGATCCATTCCCTGTTTGTGCACAGCTTAGAGAGGATGGGGTAGAAAGAAAAGGGGGGAAAGGAGCCACACCAAAAGTACATGGTATTCATACTTATCACTTTGTTTCTAAGCCTTTCAATTTCTATGCTATCTCATTTGTTCTCTATAAACACAAAATCAGGGTATTGCCAAAAAAAAATATCCAGTGAGATTAATGACAGTAGTGAATAGAATCTGGGAGAGGGACTTTTTTTTGGTCCCTTTTACCATGAGCTTGTGCTCATGGGGAGGGTGTCTGCAAAGAGCTATTTTTGGAGTCTCCAGCAGGAGAGAAATAGATTAAACCTTAACTATCATCTTCTAGACTACTTATAGAAGCCATTGAGACAAAGCGCAACTGATATAGGAAAAGCCTAACTTATTCCCACCATTTATTACTTTTTTATTTTAACATTCATTTTTAAAATTTTTGAGTTCTGAATTTTCTTCCTCCTTCCCACTCACTTCACCCTCCACTGAGAAGACAAGTAATATATCAATTATGCATGTGAAATCATGAAAAAAAATTCTATGTTACCCATGTTGCAAAGGACAAAAAAAGGAAAATAAAGAAAGTGAAAAACTTATGCTTCATTCTGCACTCAGACTCCATCAGTTCTTTCTCTAGAGGTGGACAGCATTTTCATCATAAGTCCTTCAGAATTATCTTGGATCATTGTATTGGTCAGAGTAGCTAAGTCATTCACAGTTGATCATCATTTACAATATTGCTGTTACTGTGTACAGTGATATCCTGGTTCTGCTCATTTCATTCTGATCAGTTCATTCAAGTCTTTCCAGGTTTTTCTGCAGCCTGCCTGCTCATCATTTCTTATAGCACAATAATAATTCCATCACATTCATATAGCACAAGTTGTTCAGCCATTCCCCAATTGATGGGCATCCCCTCAATTTCCAATTCTTTGCCACCACAAAAAGAACTGCTAGAAATATTTTTGTACATATGGGTCCTTTTCCTTTTCTTTTGATCTCTTTGGGATATAGAGCTACTAGAGGTATTGTGGATTTAAAGGGTATGCACAGTTTGATAGCCCTTTGGGCATAGTTCCAAATTGCTCTCCAGAATGGTTCTATCAGTTCACAACTTCACCAAAATTGCATTAGTTCCCTATTCTTCCCTCCAATATTTGTCATTTTATTTTTTTGTCGTATTAACCAATTTGATAGGTGTGAGGTGACACTTTAGAATTGTTTTAATTTGGATTTCTCTAATCAACAATGATTTAGAGCATTTTTATGTGACTGTAGATAGTTTTGACTTCTGAAAACCATCTATCAATTGTGGAATGATTCATATATTTTATAAATTTGACTCAATTCTCTATATATTTGAGAAATGAGGTCTTTATCAGAGAAATTTGCTGTAAAATGTTCCCCTCAGTTTCCTGCTGGAAAAGCTTAACTAGAGAGGATTTTTTTTTTTTAGCATGGTAGCTGCTGAGGTTTGATGCCACGCCACTCTCATTGTTGCTCCTGATATAGGAAAGATTTTTGGTACCAGTTCCCACCACCACCACCACCACTACTGTCATCATCATTATCATTATCATCTTCCTCATCTGTTTGGTTTATGTGCTTAGGGTACACTGTTATGGTAAACCTTTGGAGTCTCTCAAATGTAGATAATCACCTATTTCAGTGCACTAGTCTTGAACCAGAGTGGTTTGGGCTGGATGCAATGGCCTCCTGACTTTATTTCTAACTATTTATTTTTCTGGGGCAGTGCCAAGATGGTGGAGAAGAGGCAGCAACTCAGGAGCAAACTCAGAAGATGGAGCGTCTTTTCTAGGAATAGCTAGGACAGTGTCACTGAATAAGAAGATGAAGGGAGGGTGGAGTAAAGTATAAGAAGACTGGAAAGGTGGAGGGGGCACAGGTTTGAAGGGCTTTGAATGCCAAACAGATGCTTTTATATTTCATCCTGGAGGTGATAAGGAGTCATTGGAGTTTATTGAGTACGGGATGACATAGAGCTGACATGATCAGATCTGTGATTTAGGAAGATTAATTTGACACCTGAATGGAAAAGGGACTGGAATAGAGAAAGACTTGTGGCAGACCGAACAACTAGTAGGCTACTGTGATAATCCAGGTCTGAGGTGTTAAATAATCCCCTCATTCGAACATGAATCTGAGAATTAATTTCTATTGCTCCTTGCTACTCAAGGTAGTACTCTTCTGTTAAAAATATATATCATCCTAAATATAAAAGCCCTCTTAACTTTATTATGGAGATTCAGTGTTACATTTCTACCTTTTCCCTCAAAAATTGTCCATCCCAGGAAAATTGACTTTGTCAATATTTATCATTTTCTGTTTTACTTCTTATAGCTAATAGTATTCTTCATACTTCTAGGATAATGTGAAAATTCAGCTTGGTTTTGTGGACAGCAATATTTTCTGGCTATCAGTTGCCATCAGCATTTCTCCTTACATTGCAATGAGCAGCATCTATGATTACAAAGTAAGAAAAAGCTATTTAAACATCAACTAATTTTATTCTGAGAGGATAGATCTTTTTACATACATCAGTTTTCTTCTTAAATGTTATATAAGTGTTTGTATGAGCAACACCTAATTCAGTTCTCTTATGCATGTTCCAATGTATAATTGTTTAAAACAAGATCCCGAGTTCCACGTATTAAGTAGATGCTTACTTATTCCCTGAGAAGTTTGGTGTTTGGTGAAGTACAAGATATCTATCAGGTTTTTTGAACATTGTTAGAACATTATTATAAATGCACATTTTTGTGTAACTGTACTTATTAAAACTTCAGACTTCAAAACCACTTTGTACCTCTTCTTTTTTTAAATCAGATAAAAGCTCAATCCCAACTAAGGATTTCAGGCCTCTACCCTTCTGCATATTGGTGTGGGCAGGCCCTGGTGGATGTCCCCCTGTACTGTTTGATTCTGTTTTTAACACTTACATTTATGTATGTTTTTAACGCCAAAATACTACCAGACTTTTGGCATAACCCCAGAATCATGTTTGCTGAGGTAAGTCTTAAAAATAAAATAGAAAAAAAGATAATAATGCCTATAATTGAAATAAAATAATAATATAAAATAAGTTTTCAATATTACATAAATGAAAATTATATAAAATGTTCCTGATATCAACTTTATTTTGTAAACCTTTACAAGCTGACATATTTTTCTGAAGAAAATTTGTCTTATCTGTGTTTAATATCAATTTCTATCAACTTCAGGTCCTGTCAGTCATTGGTTATGCAGTATCTATGATCTCCTTCATGTATATGATTTCATTCATCTTTTGCAAGGGGAAAAAAAATAGTAACCTTTGGTCTCTTTGCTTCTTTACTGTAAGTACGCATAAATGATACATCCATTTTTAAAGGACTTTATATAAATCTGTGTTATCACTTTTATCTTCAAAATGACTTTTATTTTGGCTGTGATCTTATCTCATGCCCAACTGAAAGCCTCATTGGCTTTTGTGTATCCTAACTGCAAAACTTCCCTTATGGTGTGAGGGCTTGCTGAGCCCTTTTCAGGGCTTCTTATAAACCTTTGGTGTCCGTCTTTTATCTAACTCTCACCTGTGGCTCCAAGAAGCTGTAGCATCTGCAGTGGCCACATCCCAGTACACTGTGTTGGCAGATGGGCTAAACCGGGCTGAGGGTAACCAACAGGCCTCAAACTCATTGGTGAGTTAGGGGGATGTCTACCCCAAGCATATGAAGACCTCTCAGAAGAATGGGTGAATGAGAACAATTTGTTCCAACAGCCATGAAGGTGGAGGGAGTGCTTAGAGGTTGGTCAGACATTGAAGACATCAAGATCATCCAATGTATCCCAAGCTATCACCAGTCATCTTGGCTTTTGTCTTGTCACTGGACTTTGATGATTCTGGAAGAGAGAGTGAGGCTGTCAATTTTGTGTAACTGCCTCACTTTAAGCCAATTCATGAACAAGTCAAGGTACCACCCTGTGATATCATTGGTCCTCTTCGAAAAAGAAAGACAAATAACAACTTCCCAAGAAGACCATTAAAAATAACAAACAGTAAAATAGCAAATGGAAATTGGAGAAGTTTTGCAGTTAGGATACTCAAAAGTCAATGAGGCTTTCAGTTGGGCATGAGATAAGATCGCAGCCAAAACCAGGAAAGAGAATGAGCTCACTGTGGGAAGGTTCTCTGTCACCATTCTCTAGAATTTTAGGCCCTGAAGGTCAAAGCACATTTATGGGGCCAGCTGCATAGACTATATCTAAAGGACATAACAAATAAGGCACCTTGGAGGAGAAGATCTAGCCTGCAAATGCTTTATAGATGCATTTCCAATAACCAAAAATTTACCTTAACCACAATGAAGTCTGAGGTTAACTAGAGAGACCTACAACTGGAAATTAAAGCAGAATCCAGGCTCTGTCTAAATGTTAAGAATGTTCCTAACTGAGAACTTGGAGCAATTTTTATTGAATTTATAACTTTTTGCCAAACTAAACTTCCTAAAGCAACAGAAGAGATGGCCATGTGGATTTTATGCATTCTTCCCCATCCCCACCCCAGTCTTAAAAGAAACTAATTATTGTAACTGGATATTACATATAAACAATATAAATGGAAGATAATCTTATAGGAAAGGACTACCAGGGGGGAGATGGTTGGTGAGACGGTAGATTTGAGCTTTGAAGGAAGCCAGGAAAGTTAGGAATCAGAAGTAAAGAAGGAGATCATTTTAGGCATCAGAAATATCCATTGAAAAGTCACTGAATTAGGAAATGAAGTATCATATGAGAGGAGCAGAAAGTAGGACAATGTTGCTGGATTTTGCAGGGGAGTAAACTGTAAAGACTGCAAAGGTAAGGAGGTACATTGTAAACGGCTTTAAATTCCCAACAGAAGATTTTATATTTAATCCTCAAAGTCACAGGGAAACATTGAAGTTTATTGATTAGGCAGGTGACTTGGTCAGACCAGTGCTTTAGCAAGATCACTTTGGCAGCTTAATGGAGGATGGGCAGAGGAATGAGCAGAGATCTGATACAGGGTGACCAATTAGAAATCTATTCCAATTAATTCAGGTGAGAAGTAGTGAGAGCCTGTAGAAGGGTGTGGCCATATAAGCTATAGAAAGGCAGATACATGACATAGGTGAACATAACAAGATTTGATAATATATTAGATATATAGGATGAGTAAAAATGAGACATCAATGATGACACTATGCCTGTGAGCCTGGATGGTGGTGCTTTTAATATAATAATAAAGTCAGAGAAAAGGGAGGGTTTGGGGGAAAAGATAATTAGTTCTGTTTTGGACATGCTGAGTTTAACACTATAGGACATCCAATTTGAGATATCCAATATGTAGATGCTGATGTTGGGTTAGAGCTCAGAAGAGATCTTAGGGCTGGGCATATAGATCTAGGAACCATCTGCAAAAACATGATAATTGAATCCATGGGAACAGATGAAACCATCAAGA